TAAAGCCGTGGTATCACTCCGGTCGAGCCAATCCATTCATGCGTACACTGCATTTTTTTTTTTATTACAATTAACTTATAAATCGTGACACAATAGGTGAGCGAACGCTTAAATGAATTGAGTGAGCTAACTGGAGGCCCAATCCCTACTCCTCCCCCCCTCCCTTCCCAATCCCTAAATCTCTATAACCCTTATCCCCAAAAGACCGCTAAAGCACTCGTAGGTTCTTTGGCGTTGCGGTTGTTCATGGCTCTGATTGCTTACCATCAGGTAATCCGTCTGCTCGTTTGCTGACCTAAAATCATTTATTGTTTTATATAGATGAACAAATTTTAAAGAAAGATGACTAATAATTGTTTTACCGACCGTAAGAAACACAATACATGTGTTCATACAAATGTCCTTACAAAAATTATACTTTATGGGTCAAAGTTACACATTACTGATAATATGCTAATTTAAAGCAAATAAAGGAAACTAGGTCAATTACATGGAGGTTGGACAGGTGATTACTAATTATGCACTTAATAAGAAGTGGAATAAGATTCAATTTTGTTTGATTTAGAGATTTATGATTCATTTCTCCTGCCTTGGGGTGGGAATGTCGGACTTACTGATAAAATGGCTACTTTCTATCGCCTGGTCTTGGATTTCTCATTCTTTTAGGTAGAAATCATGACAGTCTTTCAATTTCAGTTATTAACGCGCTAATATCCGGAAATACTGGTTTGAATTGAACAATTCCTTTTTGTGTTTATTAGTCCACTAACTATTCTCGGTTTCACCCGTTGCTCGGCTCCATTTAATCGTAGCGTGATGTTTTATAGCCTGTAGCACTCAGGAACATTGTAGCTATCTATCAGTGAAAGAATTTTGGGAATCCGACCAGCGATTCCAAAGATTACCCCCTACATACAAACTTACAAATTTTACCTCTTTATAATATTAGTTTAGATTTATCGAGCTAGAATATATGCTATACTGATATATCTTGTCATAATGCAGATTAAGATCATTACTAGTAGATTAATATGTGTTGCATTCGTTCGTGCGTCACTGCAGGGGTGCCAACTGAAATCAGTGTTGGGTGCTCTGTGCCCAGCTTTTGCTGAGTTGGCGATCCATTTGGATTGGGCATGTCCGCCAACCCAGGGTATCTACTATTATTCTAACTTTGTTAGTCTGTTTTAAGGTTATTGTTTTGATTAATTTTATTTTTAATTTTTTTTTGTTCTTGGCCTTCATGTCTCATTCTGAATAAAAAAAAAAACAGTTTTCTTTCTTTCTTTGTATAAGACATCATGCTACGATATCTAGCAGTCATGCAACGGGTTAAACAGAGCAATAGTAGTTGGCAACACGATAAAAAAAATCCGTTCAATATTTGCACACACTCTATGAGACAATTATTTATCAAAATAAGCTGTCAAAATTGACAATGACAGCTGTCATAAATACTCTTATGTCAATGTCAAATCTTCGGTAATCAATTAAAGTGAAAGACGTTTGGCAAAAGGGCTTGGCATCCAAGTAGAAAAAAAAGAAGGCTGACATCGGGTCGTATTGTAGTCGAAAGCGAGATAGGTAGGTTCCAATACTGGCAAAGGATTCACCTGATGGTAAGCATTCGGTGTCGCCCATAAACATTTGAAACACTCGTCTATCAACTGCTATTACTGTACAGTAACGCTGTCTCTGCCTTATGCAAGAGAATTAACGGGGTAGTTTCTAAATCAGTAAGAATCTGACACTCCCTCTCGCTTCATCCAGGTCTATTCTGTACATTAAAAATAACTACCGGGGGTGATAAGTTATCGATACTGATGCCAAAAATGCAATCAGTAAAATTGTTGTCTGTCTGTCTGTATGTCTGTCTGTATGTTCGTTATAGAAACAAAAACTACTGGACGGATTTTATTAATACTTGCTACAATATTATTCTTTACACTCTTGTGAAGGTTATAGACATATATATACTTTTCATCACGCTACAAATAAAAGGAGCAGAACAGTGAAGGAAAATGTTGGGAAAACGGGAGAAGTTACTCATTTTTTTAAGTTTCCGTCGCGTGTTTATCCTTAATGGTTAAAGTTACATAGAAATTATGTATGTCGGAAATATTATGCATTAAATTATAAAAAAAAATGTTTAACAGCATATGTCTATCTTTTATGGTTAACTCACAATAGCACGTGTAACTCCTGATAGCTTAGCAGTTCGGATAATAAGCCATTGCGCCGTCGCATGTGAACACTGAATCATGCTGCTGCATGCATGGATTATTTTTGTGTAACGGTTGCCGCGTTCGACGCGACGCGGTACAAAAATATAATAAATGTATAATTGGTTTTATGAAATAAATGCAATATTACTTACTTTCGTTAGATTTGTACCATTCTATCTATGGACAGACGGATAGCGGAGATGTACCCATAAAAATGAGATGATTAGCCCGTTGAATGTCGGTTTATAAGACATAATAGAAAATACATTGTGTCTCGCGTGGATCCACGTTTAAGACATAAGAAAGGTTACTTAATAACAAATTTTATGTAAACTTCGGTTTTGTTCTATTGCTATAAAAGGATAGGATACGAATAAAGGAGGAGGGTTGGGCGCTATTACCCTTACATACAGTAACAAAAGACAAGCGTTATTTCACGCCAATTTTCTGTAACGCCTCGTTTAAAAGCCGTGATAATACGTTATCTATTCAGTTATTTAGGATTACACACACAGCGAGTAATTAGATAGTAATTTTCCTGGCACTTAATCATTTACAAAATACAGTTATTTTGTCATTCTATGACGTATTTACAATTTTCCATTCATAGCAGTTTGTATGGAAAATCAGGACTGTATCTACATAAATATTTATCATTATTAATTCATCTTTACTAATAATATTATAAAGAGGTAAAATTTGTAAGTTTGTATTTAGGGGGTAATCTTTGGAACCACTGGTCGGATTTGCAAAATTCCTTCACATATTGATAGCTACAATGTTCCCGAGTGCTATAGGCTATAAAACATCACGCTACTATCAAATGGAGCCGAGCAGCGAGTGAAACCGCGTGGGAGTAGTTAGTTAGAGAAAAGTTCATATAAATATTAAGTAACAACTTTAATTTCGCAACATAATTTATGAAGGAATGAAAGAAAATGGCGAGTTGCGGGTTTTTCTTCTAGTGAGATGAAAATCATTAGAATGATATCTCTCGGCCAGGTTGAAGCGAGAGGGACTGTCAGACTCTTACTGACTAAAAACGCCCCGTTCCTCTTGGTCTAGTCTAGGCCGAGGCCGCGGTGACTCATTGCGCTAGCCCGCAACCCCGGTTAAACATGAGCCCTATAGGGCCCTGTCTGTGGCGGTCTATTGCTCCTTTGAGGTGCGCGCGGAACGCTGCGCGCCGTACGCTCGGGTGCAAGCGCTATAATTCACCTCAGCCGGGCTTATAGGAGAAGAAGGAACTTCTGGTTTTAGTCAGTAAGAGTCTGACACTCCCTTTCGTCCCACCCAGGGCATGAGAAGTTATTTAATGATCCCCCCTCCCAAAAAAAGAGACGGAAAACCATTTGTGGATCCCATTGTTCCATCTGGTAATCAAACTCGCGATCAATTGTTCGGTTGTCGCAATTGTAACCACTTGACCAACAGGGTAGGCTTCAATACTAACTCTAATAGTTCATTGTAACAATGCTATCCAAATAAATTGTTCGTAATCTAGTTTTCCATATAAAATATGGATAAGTACGAGCAGAGAATGCGTACGTGCATATTTAGTTAGCTTGTAAAGATGACATTGAGAATTACATCATAAACGAGATTTGTTTTGAGCGATAGATCTGAGGATATGTTTTTTATATTTGTCGGAGCGACGATTATTTTAATTGAATTTTGAAGGAGGTTTTATCACAATTCATCGGACGAGGGTACCATAAATCGTACTCTGGCGGAACGTCAAACTGGCAGTTCTGCGTGCGCATTATGTTGGAGAGCGTGCTCTGTGACTGTCATCTGAGACGGATCGCCGACGTCCGTTATTTTTGTAATTTATTCGATCTGATTATAAAATCCTACGCCCTACGATTAACTGTGAAGACGATGATCGGGTTGTTTATGTTTGTACCAACCCCCCGGTGCCTTCATATTTATGAAATGATTTTAGCAATGCTTCTGTTGTACTAGGGTTAAATATTCAAATAACTTCTCCCACACTGGGTTGGGCGTGTGTCAGACTCTTACTGACTAAAAACCACCCGGTTCTCTCTTCTCCATCTTGCGGGAGCCACGGTATATTATTACTCAAACAGCCATACCCCGGTCATACTAGGTGTCTTGATGTGGATCCTTAAGAATTTGGAAAAAAAGTTAAGTAGTTATTTAAATACGATCCTGCCAGGAGAGTCATTGCTCACTTCCAGGCCCAGCTAAAATTTCGTTCGTTTAGGTTAGTATGAATGCTTATCAGAATCTTATAGAGATGAGTATTAACAATTAGAACTGGAATTCTTCACAGACTTCATTCCGAAGTCTGTCTAGGTTGTCGATAGAAATTCAATTAAACTAATATCAAAAGACAATTTCATTCCGATGCTGAATTTAAAACTCAATTATAATCTCAGTTCATAAAAACGGTACGCACATAAAAGACCAATCCAGACATTACATTGTTAATCCAAAATCGAATAGATCAATCAAAATGTTAAGTGTCAGTACATTTGAATAAAACACAAAGGATGCATCTTCAGATCGATCCGGTGACACACTTCGTCGTGTGTAACAATGTCATTGAGAACGAAAAAAAATAAAAACCGACCCGTAATGTCGCATTTAGTTTTCGGCCGCCATAATGTGCGGACGTTTCAAATTTTAAATTTCGAACTTCGATTTTTTTTTTATTCTTGTTTAATATATTTTTTTTGTTACCATATTTATTTTTTCGTTTGTAACGAGGTTTTCATAGACTATTTTTATTTTTAAATATATTCTCTTTTCGGAATCATGCTGAAATACATTACCTCCTTATTTTTAATACTCGGTGCGGTGAACTGCGATTACTTTCTTAACAGAATCAATCATTTAGAGTATTATAGAAATAGGACGAATGGGAGGCCATCTAAGTCATTTTCTAGTTTTTCTACGAATTATTTCAATCAAAATTTAGTGCCAAAACCTGGGAAGGGAGAAAAAGTGCAGTGTGGTACGAGAACGGTGGATTTTAACCCACGAAGGACGGGAAAAATTGTTGGAGGCACCGAGACACCTTATGGGGCATTTCCTTGGCAAGTAAGTAGTATTTTTGAACACCTAAAACTTCTGCCCCACCCCTTTTTATCAAATTCCTAACAAGAGTCAAAAGGCAACACACTTCTGACTATTTCGGTGTTGTGGATGTCCATGGATCGCGCCGACAATCTATATGTTGGCAAACAAGCAGACTGATAAACTGACCTTACAAAGAACAAACTTATGGTACAAGTGTGTAATGTTGGTGAATAAGGAGGAGGAGACTTTAATAAATAACTTCAAAAGAGAAAACGAGACGAGTTGTGAAAAATGTTTCGTAATGGCGGGAAAAAATAATCAGTATTCCTATACGCGAGCATCGGATATAGACTAAAAATTGATGTTTCATTTTTTTGGGCTTTTCGTGAAAAGCATTTTAGTGCAAGTGTAAACGTAACTCAACTATAAATAAAAAAAACTCTATTATATCTATAAAATAGAGAAAGTCACAGTTTGACTAAAGGTGTCATTACGTGCCTAATTGACGTGGGATAAGGACCACTTTATGAGGAAGTGTGTTGAAAAAACATTTGTTTTAATTAGACCCTTATTACACGGGCACTTTTAAACATCAAACAAAGCTTAAATATAGAAAATATCAGTTCTCTTAGAAGCTTTTGCTCGTTTCAAACCGCTATGGAGACATCCGTCTCCATCAATGGTATCCTTAGATCCCATTGATTATTTATCTGTACTGATATTTATGATGTTTTGCGTGTACCTATCTACATGGCGACTTTGTTGTATCGGCATTTTGGTGATACGTGTGTAGACGCACTTGAGATAATTGAGTACCTACCCCGAATATCCCTATATATTTGACGCTTTACTACTCGTACTTTAGACTGCATATTTGGCGCCTTGGCTGGGCAACTGACTACCGCGCAACGTGCCGCGGGTCCGATTCCCACACGGAACAACACTTTGTGTAATCCACAAATTGTTGTTCCGGGTCTGGGTGTGATGTGTATGTGAAATTGTATGTTTGTAAACGCTCCCATGACACAGTAGAAAACCCTAGAAGGGGGGCAACTTTTTTTTTTTAAAAAAAAGAACGATAGTAGATGGACAGTAGAATGTTTAAAAAAGAAAAATTACAAATAAGAAAAGAAAAAAAAGAATATTTGACGCTGACTGTACTAACTTAGAAAGTGCATATAACTCGGAAAAAGTCAAATTGGTACTTGCTCGATTTTGAATCTCTTATGCATAAACCTAAATCTCCGAGCCGCCTGTAATATATCACAAAACAAATATTTGGCCTTAAAAGGCTCTTATGACATCAATATTGACGTAAGAAAGTCTTCCAAATGTATTTCCACCCAGGTGAGGCGAGAATAAGTTTCAGATTCATACTGACTAAGACCTACCCCGTTCCGAGCCTTGGTACACTTCATTGAAACCTCGGTCGGTACTTATACACAATATTTAGATACCTATAACTGTGGGAGAGCCATGCTTTGGCACGAATGGACCAACTTAACTGATGTAATACTACGGCCTCACAGAAAACCGGCGTGAAACAATCACAGCTTTGTGTTTCGCCGTGTGAATGAGGTTACCGGAGGCCCAATCCTTCCTCTTCCCCAATCCCTCCCCAGTCCCTAAATGTCCGAATCCCTAATCCCCAAAAGGCCAGCAACGCTTTCGCAATTCCTCTAATGTAGTGGGTGTCTAGCACCGTCGGTTTTTTACAATCAGGGAATCCGTCGTTCGTTTGCGGTCATACAACATAAACAAAACCTTTCATACCGTCACTATATCACGGATCTTATCCAAAACAACTCGGTCAAGTCAATTCAAGATCGACCGTCGCATTTCCAACTACCTCCTATTAAAACAAAGAGACCTATTAAAGCAAACACATTTGGAGAAGGGTCTTGTCACCAAAAATACAATTAAACGCCTATTCTGTGTCAATACTTCATCTTAAAGATTGGACGGCCCGATTCTTGTATGAAAACACCAAAAAAAACAAATGTCATGTTGACATTGACGTTATTGACATTGTTTTACGATTACTTTGATAATAAACAATAAAACCTCATATTGTGATCTTGTAATAAAAAGTAGCGACCCGCCCCGGATTCGCACGGGCGCAATGCTAATAGTAAATATCTCCACTATTTAATGGATTTCATTTTACACATATAAACCATCCTCTTTAATCGCTCTATCTAATTAAATTAGTTTTAAAGATTTAAGCATATACATTAGGATATAGGGACAGAAAAAGCGACTTTGTTGTATACTATATGGTATAAAAAATACTGCATCGATAGTTGGTTGGTAGCAAATGCAACTATTCTATGTATTTTTAAAGTTTTTTGGATTTCTGCTGTCGGTTTTAGTTCAGAATAACTCGTTAACGACGAAATTATGGCAAGCCATCTTCTGAGGAGGAGACTTAAACTCCAGACAGTTAATGATGAAACAAAAAAAAAAACAGCACAAAAGTCAGTAAACATAACGTAACCGAAAAATAAAACAAAAAGAGAACACCAAAATTCAATTAACCAAGCGCTTAGCTTCGCAAAACCCACCCTTATACCAAGAAAAATAAAACATCAAATCCATAAATCACGCTTCGAAAAATTACATAATACAGCCATCTTTGTTTTTTGTGGTTCCCGCGCAAAGAGGTCGTGAAATGTCAAGTTGACAGATATTGTTACGTTCGAAAACGAATGGCGGGTAATTATTGGTACTTTCACTTTTTGTAAAGAGGTTGTTTTCATGGTGTAGTATTTATGTTTTGAATCATCAATTTAAATTGGCTTTTAGTTTGGCTTGAAAAGAAACCGAGAGTGACAATTTGTGGATAATTGTTTGTTCACGATCAATGGCGGTTTTGTTATTGTACTTTTACTAGTCCCATTTCTATAATGTGGCCTTATGTGTTTGTCAACAAATGAAATAGGACGATTTGGCAAACTTGCTTTTGAGTCTAATTTCCGGGTCGACTTTTCAAAAACCAAACTGTGATTTTTTATTTGTTTTAAATAACACTGTAAATAATATGTTCATTGCGTTTTACCTGGCTTAAAAGCTGGCTTAGGGATAACACATTTGTCAGAAACGGGACGGTGGCATTATCCGATAAAACTGAGACTTTAAAACTACTTTTTTCACACACTATACAAGTGTGGGAGAGCCAAGGCGACAGGAATAGGTCGGCTCAACCCGAGTGATACCACGGCCTCACATAAAAACCGGCGTGAAACAACCACAGTGTTGTGTTTCGACGCGTGACTGAGGTTACCGGAGGCCCACTCCTTCCCCTCCCCAAACTTTCCCCAATGCCTAAATCTTCGGAAGCCTAATCCCAAAAATGTCGTGTGTCCATTTCCGTGGGCTGCGCCGATTGCTTACCATCATGTAATCCCTCTGCTCGTTTGCCAACGTATTTGGATCAATTTGTGCCTTCGATAACTTCTAAATAATTATGTTATTTCTAATTGCAGGTGGAAATTCAGATGCTGGACGTGGATAAGTTGACCTTCGAGCACCATTGTGGAGGAGCAGTCATAGCTGAGAGGCTGGTACTGTCCGCTGCGCATTGTTTCGACAAGGTATGTTGCCTTTGAGGTGTAAGTCTGAATTTTAACAGGTTTTTGTTATGTTTTGCCGTGTGACGCTACCACAGAAGCTCCATTCTTTATTATTCATTTAATAGATCGGCAAACGAGCAGACGGATTCCCTGATGGTAAGCAATCAGTGCCGCCCATGGACACCCGCAACAGAGGAGGCACGAGTGCTTTGCCGACCTTTACGGTATTAGGGATTTGGAGATTTAGGGATCAGGAAGGGATGGGGTGGGGAAGGATTGGGCCTCCGGTAACTTCACTAACACGGCGAAACACAACGTTGTGGTTGTTTCACGCCATTTTACTGTGAGGCTGTAGTATCACTCCGGTCGAGCCGACCTATTCGTACCGAATCATGGCTTTCCCACACTTTCCTTCCCCATCCCTGAATCTCCGGAATCCGAATCATCCCAAAAGGCGAACTTGTAACTCCTCTGGTGTTACGGGTGTCAATGGGCGGCACCGATTGCTTATCTACCATCAGGTAATCCATCTGCTTGTTTGCAGACCGATTACCAAAAAAAGAAACGAAAAGGCTCTTACAGTACGTCCCCAACTAGAAGGTAACCTCGCCAGTTGGCTATAAGTGCAGTACTTGTTTTACGATTAACGGTTTTTTTTGTAAAGCTAACAAAAAATATTATACACATTCTCATGATATGTACACGGTGATAAATTTTACCCAGCAAATTCCCTGTTATCAGCAATTCAAAAAAAGACTGTTGAGAGGGTGTAACATTGCGGAAACACTGAAAATCAATCATCCTCTTCTTTAAGAAATTAAAATGGCGTGTTCTTACCCATCATCTGTGGTGATGATCATATTTCAAATGTACAAGAAAACTGTTATCATAGGCAGCTGGACTGCAGAACATTTGTATTCCAATTTTCTCTTAAGCGACAAACAAGTGTGGGAGAGCCATGCTTCGGCACCGACCGGAGTGATACCACGGCCTCACAGAAAACCGGCGTAAAATAACCACAGCGTTATGTTTCGCCGTGTGAGTGAAGTTACCGGAGGCCCAATCCTTCCCCTCCCCCAATCCCTCCTAAATCCCTAAGTCCCCAAATCCCTAATCCCTAAAAGGTCGGCAACGCACTCGTAACTCTTCCATTGCGGCGCTGATTGCTTACCATCAAGTAATCCGTCTGCTCGTTTGCCGACATTTAAAAAAAAAAACTTTGCCACCTTACAGAACCATATCCAAACGTATTTCGCACGCGCCTCCAAGATCTAACAGTCCACTACAGATGGGGCTGATGTTCAGCTCGGATTGCGGGTCAAGCAACAATGAACTGCGCTCTCGACCTTGATCAGGAGAAGGAACGGAGGGATTTTTAATTAGAGAGTCTGACACGCATCTCGCCCCGAGAGAAGGGATTTGAAGATTTTTAACACTTAAAAACACCATCAAGTACGTCAAAGTTCTCTTTTCATTACAGCAACCGTTGAACTTGGAGCACATTCGCCTGGTGGTCGGCGAGCATCGTCTGAAGGTACAGGACAAGCATGAGCATCGGTTCCTCGCAGAGAAGGTGGTGCTACATCCCGACTTCAGAAAGAGTAAGTTGTGAATTTTTGTGAGGAATTTAGGTTGGGAAATGCGCAGACGGTGACGAAAATTTGTGCCATCCATGGATATTCGGCCCAGAGCAGGAGAAGGACAGGGGGCGGGGAGCGTTGGTCAGGAAGAGTTTGACATTCTCTCTGCCTGACCCTGGGAGGGGGAAGTCATTTGATGATTTTCCTCTCACAAAAAAAGCACTAGTGAAGTTACAAGTAGTGCATCATTATGTTCAGAAAAGGCAAGCAGCATTCAGGGGATTTGAGCTTCTAGTAACCTCAATCACTCAAGGAAACAATGCGTTATTTTTCGTTGATTTTCCTTGGAGGCCATGGTACTACTCCGGTCGACACTTTGAAGTATTTTTGTGGGATATAATCGACAAACGAGATGGTCCATCTGATGGTCATAGCCATCAGCGCCACACCAAAGTAGTGGTAAATGCGTTGTCGACGTTTTGAGAGTTGGGGATTTAAGGAGATTTGGGGACTGAATTTTGGGATTGGGGGGAAGATTTGGTCTCCGATAACGTCTCTGGCACGATATCTGGCCATGGCTTTCCTATGTAACGTTTTTATCTGTTTGTTTATGATTTTGACTCTTATAGTATGCTTTGTCGATTACAGATGGCCCACACAGCAACGACATAGCTTTGGTCCTCGTCTCTCGGTCCGGTAGCGGTGTGCAGTTCAATTCCCACGTCCGGCCAATATGCTTGCCTGATGATGGAGTCACTGCTGGGAAGTGGTGTACGGTCAGTGGATGGGGATTTCAGGCAGGTAAGGGTTATTTTGTCCTTATTTATTCTATAAAACTGTCTCGTTCATCGAATATTTGTAAGAGCAGGAGCAAGCTACGGCTGATCTAGGTATCTCTTTTTAAAATTTGAAATTAAATACAAAATACAAAAGTTTTTATTTCTTTACCAAACGTTTAACATAAGTTGGTGATTGGAGCTTCCTTTTAAGCAAATAATGCCTGTATTAGGACACCGCTCTTCTACATCAGTTTACAATAAATAGAAAACTTAGTTTTAAACTGCATGCTTGTGTGAGTGTGTTTTTGTGTGTGTGTGTATGTGTGGGTGCGTGTGAGTGTGTGTGTGTGTGTGTGTGTGTGAAATATTATGAAGCCGTCTCTGTCTTGTGCAGTCTTACTAGATCAGAAGAAAGAGGAACGTGTGATGGAACCTTTATATGCCCTAGCCGCCGTAGGAGACGCTCCGGATGGTTCCGACCCTTACGATTATCGGCTATCCAAAGCTTGAGTGTGCGGACGACGAGGGTTAAAAGAAATTGGGCGGTTTTTAGTCAGAAATAGTCAGACAACATCTGTCGCTGCTAGAGAAGGCATTTAATAGTTTTCAATATCCACAAAAAAAAACGTGGTTTCACGCCGGTTTTCGATGACGTAATAGTATCATTCTTGTGGACGGTCGAAACAGACCACTTCTGTCGATTCGTAACCTGCCACATTTAGAACCTTCTTTATATTGTAATTTTTTAATTTTCCAGAAAATACGGAAAACTTTGCGCCTATCTTAAGAGCGGCTGCAGTACCAGTATTAGATTTAAACACGTGTAGAAAGAGCCAGGTCCTTGGAGGAAGACAGCAGACCATACTGGACTCTATGATCTGCGCAGGTGGGTATAAAATAGAAAATATTAGCGATCTTTGCATTTATTCTTGATTGTCATGACAGTAATTTTGTAAAAAAAAAACTACATTATCGAAGGCATAATCTTCACCTCTCCTTTCCCCAATCTTTAGTCCCCAAATCTCCAATCTATCTCAAATCCCTATCCCCACTGGTAACGCACTCGTAACTTCCAGTTGATCCGTAGGCTTGTTTGCCGACATATTACACAAAAGAAACTCCAATTTGGATGATGTTCAGAAGTTATGCGCAAGCGCATATACGTATTTTATTTGTATAATTGTGTAGAAGTGCAAGTTATTGCTATGACACAATTTGTAGGCTTTATCAAATACTATTCATTGTAACATCTCAGTCCGTAAAAATATTAAATATACATATATAGGCGACCGACTAGAACCAGACTCGAGCGGCGCTTAGCGTTCAGCGCGCGCCTCGAAGATGTCTTCAGGACCCTACAGTGCTGATGTTCAGACAGGGTTGCGGGGCAAGTGCAATAAAACACCGCGGCCTTGGCCTAGATCAGGAGAAGGAACGCGGGGGTTTTAAGTTAATAAGAGTCTGACACTCCCTCTCGCGTCAGCTTGGGCTAGAGAATTAATTCACTTGATGATTTAACATTCACAAAAATACCCAAACACGCCATATTATGCCTGTGCAATTTTGTAGTAGTGTTTTGGAAAGAATGTGCAGGCGTTAAAAATATAGCTTTTCATTATATCTTCTGGCTCCATAAAAAGATGAGAAATATGTAGTTACTATTATACAAGAAAGTGCATGTAAAATTAAGTTTAATATGCTATTTTCAATTAAATGTTAGAATGTAGGGACATCAAATTTTTCAATAAAATTTTCGAATCACAAAGTAATAGAATATAAAGACCCGATCTCCTTCCCCAATTCCAAAATACCTTGACCGCTCCACAAATCGCTAACTCCCAAAGCCAGTCAACCGACAAAGAACTTGCAACGTCTTTGATTTTGCGAGTGTCCATGGACATCCCATAAAAAATTACTTCTACAGATTCTGTCAAATTGTTGCATAATATACTTTATTCTATGTTTCTTTTCCACAGGAATCCTATCAGGTGGTGTCGACGCTTGCCGAGGAGACTCCGGAGGCCCCCTGGCCTGTATGAACTCGAACCGATGGCAGCTTCATGGGGTCGTCTCTTGGGGGTCAGGCTGTGCACGGCGAGCGAGGCCAGGAGTATACACTAGAGTAGCGTCCTACCTGGACTGGATTAGGCGGACAGCTTCTGCATTGGGTCATAAAATTGGATATTAGGATTTTATATAACCTGCAAGTATTGAATGCCCGGGTATTAAGGTGTAGCTTATTGGCTATGTGCAAAGCGAATAGTGACGGACAAATAACGACCGCAGCGCACAACACGGCAGAAATTGGAAACAAATGCGGACGATCAGCTGTCAGTTTTTATTATTACATTCATTTTACAGTAAAACTATTGATCAAGCTAGCACTTAAATAATGTCAACAATACTATTTTAATTTTTGGTTTGATTTATATTTGCAAAGAAAATTATAATGTTTACATTGTTATTAAGTATTTGACAGCTACCGCAAATGTTGTAAACGCTACGCGTCGCCACCGTCGCGCACATAGCCAATAGGATAAGCATGAAGGAGCGGATTTCCATAGAAACTTTCAACTCGAAAGTCATATAAAGAGATAGAAGCGGGTATTTTTACTTTTCCGCGTGTGAGAGCCAATCTTCAACCGGCTCGGCTGGAATGATACAACGTTCTCACAGAAAACCGGCGTGAAACAACCACAGCGTTGTGTTTCGCCGTGTGAATGTTGTTATCGGAGGCCCAATCCTTGCCCACCCCTATCTCTCTCGAATCCCTAAATCTCCGAAACCCTAATCCCCAAAAGGCGAAAGTTACAAGTACGTATGAATGTTTGTTACTCTTTTATGTAAAAAGTACTGAACGGATTTGAATGAATTTTGGCACAGAGATAGACATTATGGTTTGGAGTAATACATAGGCTACTTTTCAACCGGATAACACAGGCGATGGTAGTAGGTGGAAGCTGTAAAGAACTATAGTTACCATAGATATAAGTTTAACGCCAAAGTTTAGTAAATTAAAATGTAATTAGTAATTAATTTAACTGTATTAGTTAAGTATAAAAAATATTTTAAACTTAAAATTAAATTAGTACTAGTATTATTTATGTACTTATTAAAAGTAATTTATTATTTGGAGTTTGTGTTTTATTTTGACCTTGGGGGAGCCAAGCTTCGGCACGAATGGGCCGGCTCGACGGGACTGATACCACGGCTTCAAAGAAAACACTTGTGTTATGTTCAGTGATTTGAAATGGGTTTAAAGTGAAGTTTGCGAAGGCTCAACCTTTTCCCCTGCCAAAAACAAAAGCCCAAATGTCAAATACTTAACAACCTCTAAAGAAAACCGGCGTGAAACGACTACAGCTTTGTGTTTCAACGCGTGTGTGAGGATAGGTCGGCTAACGAGCAGACGGATTACCTGATGGTAAACAATCAGCGCAGATTTAGGTATTGGGGGAAGGCAGGGCTATCCCTCCTCCGGTAACCTCACTCACACGTCGAAATACAACGCTGGTTCTTTCACGCCGGTTCATGTGAGGCCGTGGTATATCTCCGGTCGATCCGACCCATTCGTCGCGAAGCTAAAACTCCCTTCTTTCGTTTCTTCGATTCCTGAATATCCAAAAGGCAGGCAACGCGCCGATTGCATGTGCTCTTTTGCCGACCTATCACATAAAAAATGAATTAGTATTTGATATCCAGTTTTTTAGATATTTATTTATATCTTCCTATGATAAATAATTAAAATATCTTCCTATAATAGTCGTGGTGGCCCGGAGGTTAAGGAGCCCACTTCTCATGCATGAGGGTGTGGGTTCGAAACCTGGCAAGTACCAATGTGACTTTTTCCGAGTTATATGTACTTTCTATGATTATTTCGACACCACTGACATACGGTGAAGGTAAACATCGTGAGGAAACCTGGACTTATAATTTCTAATTATAAGTTTGAAATCGCCAACTCGCATTGAGCAAGCGTGGTGATTAATGCTCTAACCTTCTCTGTATAAGAAGAGGCCTTTGCTCAGCAGTGGGCACTTATAGGCCGATGATGATGATGATGATGATGATAAATAACAAATAATTTTCTATCATCCTAACGTGACCATGACCCACTTCCAATAGATAGATAAGTATAAAGAATAATTAATGTTGACACTTTTAATAAACTAAAAATTCAATTCAACCTTATCACTAAGATACTGCAACTACTTAAGTAAGTTCAAAATGTCAGTAGAATAATTTGGTTAATTATTGATAAAATTATATTTTACTTAATAGATCGAACCTGCTTCGTATAGGCACAGAAATATTATCAACTAGCTACTCTCGCGGTTTCACCCGCTGCTCGGCTCCATTTGATCGTAGCGTGATGTTATATAGCCTATAGCACTCAGGAACATTGTAGCTATCTATCAGTCACAGAATTTTGGCAATCCGACCAGCGGTTCCAAAGATTACCCCCTACATACAAACTTACAAATTTTACCTCTTTATAATACCTAAATTAGTATAGATATAACCAGGCAATGTGCCCTGGCAGTTCGGAGGTCCATCGCTCAAACACAAAATTATAGAGCAATTATATTCAATACTTAGAGATTAATTCGTCAAATCCCAAGCGAACCTATTGTGTCCCGATTTTAAAGATTTTATGAATTAGTTTACAAAACTGATCCAAATTATCTATGTGTGGGAACTAGCACGAATGCGTCGGCACGACCTGAGTGATACCACGGCCTCACAGAAAACGGGCGTGAAGCAACACATGTTTTGTATTTCGTGAGGTTACCGGAGGCCCAATCCTCACGCCTCACCCCATCTCCTATCCTCAAATCCTCTTGCCATAAAAAAGGTAAGATACATGTTTATTTTGCTGTTGCTAGGACAATGTCAAAAGTGTAATCTTTAAGTCGGGTATTATACACCCACCCGAAGAGTGAAGGTGGTTAAGCATAAAACTTTGCCGTCATCACACGGTTCATTAATATATTTAGTAAACATTATTAATTTATAATAATAATTTAAACAAATTACTTACTGATAATGGAATACCTATACCTACTATTAGAACTGATAATAGATATGTAATTACTAGCTAATCAATGGCACGCGGTTTCACTCGCTGTCTGGCTCCTAAATAGTGTTCGTCGATAAATGGAATATCCTTAACGAAAAGTATTGTTATGTTAGTAAAGTATTGTATGATTAGAAATTATAAGTCCAGGTTTCCTCACAATGTTTACCTTCACCGTATGTCAGTGGGGTCTATAATTATAATCATAGAAAGTACATATAACTCGGAAAAAGTCACATTGGTACTTACCGTTTCGAACCCGAATTTCGAACGATTCGTACCCTCATGCATGAGAAGCGGGCTCGTTAAGGTTTCAATATGAATGATATTCAGAACAGCCCTTTCCCGACTTGAGAATGGATCCCGAATACTTTTTTATACAAAGAACGCGAGCAAAACCCCGGTTAGGAGCTTGTTTATAATATTATAAAGAGGTAAAATTTGTAAGTTTGTATGTAGGGGGTAATCTTTGGAACCGCTGGTCGGATTGCCAAAATTCTTTCACTGATAGGTAGCTACAATGTTCCTGAGTGCTATAGGCTATAAAACATCACGCTACGATCAAATGGAGCCGAGCAGCGTGTGAAACCGCGCGAGTGTAGCTACGTCTGTGATAATTTTTTACTCACGTGCAAGGGTCAAGCTACTCTGTTAAACGAAACGTGTTCAGAGATAAAAATGTCAAAGGTGTCAACAATTACGTTCACAGAAACCGGGTCGTGCACATGCTATCAAGCACATCAATCTACACCAACCTGTCAGTATTCTTCATTGAATTTTCGATTGAATTTCAAGCAGAATAAAGTTGAAAATGTTATAAAGAATTTTAATAGGAAGGGTAGGTTGATTTGCTGCTCCACACACCGGTATAAACTGACCGTTGAGTCCGAGGAAAGTTTGTACAAAGAGAGGCCATGAAATACTGGTTTTGTATTTAAGTAAACGATTCAGAGGAATATCACATATAATGACACCCGCAACAACGGAGGAGTTACCGACCTTTTGAGGATTACGGATTTGGAGATTTTGGGATTGGGGGAGGGGAAGAATTGGGCCTCCGGTAACCTCACTCACACGGCGAAACCTAACGCTGTGGTAGTTTCATGCCGGTCGAGCCGACCCAATCGTACTGAAGCATGGTTCTCCCACACTTACTTGCTTACCATCAGGTAATCCATCTACTAAATTATTTCATTTGCACCCGTAACCTCAGTAATTACAACTATTATGTAATTAGGCATTACTTCCACGTGTTACTTAACGTAATTATTTTGAACCTAACCTGAAATTAAATCTAGATCTATACTAATATTATAAAAGTAGTTAAAGTAAGTTTGTATGTTGGGAGTAATCATAGGAACCACTGGTCGGATTTCCAAAATTCTTTCACTGATAGGTAGCTACAATGTTCCTGAGTGCTATAGGCTATAAAACATCATGCAACGATGAAATGGAGCCGGGACAGCGGGTGGAACCGCACGAAAGTAGCTAGTAATCCAAACTAATATTATAAATGCGAAAGTAAGTCTGTCTGTCTTTTCTTCACGCCTAAACTACTGAACCGATTTCTGTGAAATTAGAAATTTGGCACAGATATAGTTTGAAATTCGAGAAAGGACATAGGATAGTTTTCATACCAGAAATCTGGAGGAAGTCAAATGAGGGGTAAAAATCATCAAATGACTTCTCCCGCCCAGGGGTAGGCGGGAGGGAGTGTTAGATTCTTACTGACTAAAAACCCACCTGTTCCTTCTCCTGCTCTGGGCCGAGGTCGCGGTGCCTTATGGCGCTTACTCCGCAACCCTGGCTGAAAATCAGCCCTATAGGGCCTCGTTCGGCTCTTTGAGGCGCGCGCGGAACGCTACGCGCCGTACACTCGGGTCTGGTTCTGGTCGGGCGGCGAGCTACCCTTACGCGTCGACCGCAGACCCGCGAAAGTTACTCTGTCTGTAACATCAAAATCACTGAACGCTTAGGAAGGACATAACGACGAAATCGCGGGCAAAAGCTAGTAAATAATAATACTAATCCACCAGTCCATAGCAAGCCATACCCATAACCCTATAAATTTTTATCACATTTCGCAATAATCCTTCATCAACCGGAGATTGTCCTTGGGTGCCCTTTCATAGTGCATACAGGGATAATTGCCGGCTGATGTCTCATTTCACTTATATTAAAGTTGTTCAAAGGGCCTCTGCGAGTTGGCTTCGGCCCCTTGTACGCCTTCCAAAAGTCCGGGACCCTCTGGTCCCGTGAGTGGAAAGGAACATACTAACCCTACTATTATAATAAACATGAGAGTTTGTAAGTACTTGTATACATGGACGTCCGTTCCTATTGCACGTAAAAGGTACTGAACGTATCTGTAGAAATTTGGCACAGAGATAAATATATAGTCAGTAATAACATGTAGGCAATTTTGGATGTTTGATGCCTAAACGCGAAAGTGTGTGAGTGCGAATTTTCGTGTTTTGTTTCACGTAAGAATTACTGAATGGATTTTGATGAGAATCGGCGCAGAATAGATTATAATACCAAGGCCATTCTTCAACCTGGTGACGAGAGCGAAGTCGCTGGCAGAAACGAGTGTAAAAAACGCAAAAAAATTTAGTTATGGATGAACATTTGTTACGTTTTAGCGTAAAAACTACTGAACGGGTTTTGACGAAAATTGACACAGAGATAGATTACAGTCTGGAACAAGAAATGTCTACTTTTCGTAGTAACACGGGCAAAGTCGCTGAAAAACAATCTAGTGGCTTATGAATAGTTTGCAATAAGCTGTAATTTCTTAACACAATAGCATATCGTAGGTCAAGCACGTGTTTTTATAATTTAAATAATTGGTATGATAAATAGATTGAAATAAGATTATTCCAACCTCAGATTAAACTTTTTTTTTGTCAGGGGATAATCATCAAATGACTTCTCCCGC